GGGGTGTTTGTGTTGGGGCCCTGAGAAGAGAGCCAGGAAGGCAGCTGCTCAGGAAGAACAGGGCTGTTTCCACAGTTGGCTGAGTGTCCTTGGGCAGTGCTCACAAATGGTCAGATAATTTGCCAGGTCAAATTCTCACTCACCTTAAAGCGAGCTAAACCTGTTTGGACAGTACGAGGATTTGGGGTTCCTGTTCTAGTAAGTAACTCGCACTGGGCCCTGCTCTGAGCCAGCAGGAACCTGTCCGGGTTCTCCAGAAAGGAAGCTCCTTGTGGAAACGGGTCTGGGTTCGCAGAACAGCCTGATTCCCGGGAGGAAATGAATCCTCGTGGCCTCAGGCAGGGCTTGGGGACCCTGTTGGTGGTGAGATGCCGAGCACTCGCAGCAGGAAGGTCTAGAACCTTCTCCCCACCTTGGCAGCCATGAAACTAGATCCTGAGACTGTTCGCAGCAGAAGGAACGAGCAGCCCCCCCCTTCCTTGTTCTGTTTCTCTCTGCATTTGGTCCTGGTGAGGCCCTACTCCCCCCCCCACCCCTCCACCATCAAGCACCCCTCGGGGGCAGAGCCCAGAGCAGGAGCTGCCTGGCTCCCCAAGGGCAGGACTGTGCAGTCTCCCGGCCACCCTGCTGAGGCCACGCCATTTCCTTGTCCTCTTCCTGGAGCCACTGACTTCAGGGCTTTGCCCACAAAGCGGGCACAGCCAGTGACTCTGAGAGGGAAATAAAACAAGGGCTGTTGCTACCCACCCCAAATGCAGTGGCAGCCAGATGGGGCCACCCCGAAGCTCAGAGAGCGCTGGGCAGCAACTGAGGCCCGAGAGCTGGCTCCCCTGGTGCTCAGAGCCCAGAGCTGACACCCACAGAGGCCATTAGAGCAGCGGGTGGTCCTGAGCACCTCCCAGCTGCCTGCCCAGCAGTGTTGCACCCCACTCCCAGGGGGCTGGGGTGGGCATCCACTGAGACCCACCCCCTGCAAATGGGCACCAACGGCCCAGCCACTCTCCCAGAACCATTCTCCTGCCCACTTGTCTTTGCAGTGTCTGCAAGTGAGCGTCAGGAGTTAAGAGCGTGGCCTCTGGGGATGAACCGCCTGAATCTAATCCTGCCTCCTTCCCTCTCCTGATCTTTCTCTCTACCCTCCATACCATGCCCGGCCAGGATTAGTGTTACGTATTCAGCCTTGATTTGGTGCCTACTGTAGGCCAGGCCAGGTCATGGTGGGGGAGGCGGAGAGGGACAGTAATACAGGAATTCAGACCACAACCCGAGTGGAAAATGCTCTGTAGGGGAAGGCACAGGAGTTGTGGGGCCTCTGAACAGGGTTCTGAACATGGGGCAGCTAGGGGATCAGACGGGGGATGTCTGAGATGAGCTTGAAAGCTGAATAGGAGTTGGCCAGATGAGGAACACAAAAAGCATCTTCCAGGAGACAGACCACACACACATGCAGAAACTCAGACGTTAGAAACCTGGTGGGGAGGGTTTGGCTTATGGAAGACTCATTCTGTGTGTGCAGTAAAGGTGGGGTGGGGGAGGTCCCATTAGGTCTTCCATGTTTCAAGTCTCTACTCAGGGCTCATCTAGGTTGCCGTCTTCAAAGCACTTTGCAGTTCAGTGGGGGAGACAGGTCTGCAAGGACACAGTGCTGATCAGTCTTCTTCTGAGGGCATTGGAGACGGTGAGCTGAGCCAGGCAATCTCACTGCAGTTCAGAAGGCCCCTGGGCAGCTGGAGGAGGGCCAGGCCATGCCCCAGCCAGGGCTCCCCTGGGTCACTGCAGGCAGAGTTCGGAGAGCCAGCAGAGCTAGGGTGGCTACGATCTGAGGAACAGAGGGAAACTGGGACCCCTCATCATGGAGCTCTGATGCTGGTCCAGTTCATAGTAAATGCTCTAGAAAGGACCGTCCCTCCTCCATATCTGTAAGCTGCATGGCCCGGGGTATTTCCCAGGGGACCTAATCCAGGCCCTGCAGTGTGAGCACAGGACCCTCTTGTCCCATAGCTCAGCCTTAGGGCAAGCAGGCATTGCATTTGCTGGTAAAACCCCAGGAAAGTGACCAGGGGATTGAATGTTTACAGTGAAGGAAAACAGACAGGGATCGCTCCGGATGCTAGTGCTTCCAGAACAAAACCAAATCCATGACAAGCCTGTGAATCTCGCTCCAGAGTGTGGGTGGATTGGAGGATGCCCCATAGATGTGCTGGGTCTGGAGCCTCCGACAGGGCAGCTGTCTAAACAAGCAAGCAAAGTGTGTGTGACCGCAGGTGGCTGGCGTGTGCATCTGGTCTGCCTTGCCATGGTCAAGGTGTAAATCTCTTTCCAGAGAGTGGGCCAGAATCCTCCCTCCTCCGCATGGCCGGTGATTCACAACCTGTATTTTCAAAGAGTTCTTTGGTGGTTTCAGCTTATTTGATCCTTTGCAAAGTTCTTGAGAAAGGTTAGCTTAGCAGTTGTGTTAGAGAAGGGGAAACTGAGGCTCAGAGAGCCTGGTATGGATTCTGCATCCTATTCTGGGGTCTGCCCCTGGATAGCTGACTCCCACAGGCTCATTTCCCCCAGGGCTGACAGCGGATCCTTGCTCAGCCGCAGAAGTGAAGGGTCAGAGTTAATAATACCAGCTAAACTTCCAGATGTGTTT